TTTATCATACATACATACATACGTACATATATACTTATGTTTTACCTGAAAGAAGCCCTAGTCTTTGCAAGTGGAGTGCAACTTTTCGAGTTCAACATCGAAATCTTTTCCGTCAACGAGATGATTCATGTCGATGATTGGGAGCATTTGGGGGGGGGGGTAGACGACCACCGTAAGGGGCGGAATTCCGGTGATCTAAACGAACATATTGTTGAGGGATTGTTTTGATCGGCTCTTTGACAAGCTCTTGAACCGAGGAACTTGTGCTGCTAAAGTTAAACTGATCTTCTACGCTTGATGTTGCTGCCATTGTTGTTGCTTAAACTTGATCCATGTGTGCTTATAATGCCAGTCACTGCAAGGGTATTTATAGGCTAAAATCAATGATTTTTTCTTCTTTGTATAATCAATATTAGGGGCGAGTAAAACTTGATTTAACCCAAAAAACTGATTTTTCGATTCACCCAACTCAAAAAAACTCAATTTGAATTGACTTCGAGTTGTAATTTGACAAATTCTACTCGATTCTAAAAAAAATTCAAGTTCAAATCAAGTTGTAAAATACAACTCGAATAACTCAAAATTTTTAGTAATTATAGATTGATTTTCAATTTTGAGTCGAGTCTCTCGATTCTGTATGATATATTGATATATGTTTAAGTGTGAAAAAAGTATGAAGAAATATTTTTGTATTATACATGGTTATAAAAAATCATTTAAATTTGAATCTAATAATATCATAATATTTATAATTAAATTTAAACAGAAACTCAAAATTTTGACTCGAAAAATTTTCAAATTAACTTCGAGTTATAAAATAAAATTCGTCAACTTAAATAATTCAAAAAAATTTAACTTCGAATTGTAATTAAATCCATATAAAACCAATAAAAATAGGACACCTGAAATATTATTTATAGAGAAAATAATAAGTTAAGAAATAAACTTAAAAAATAATTTAAAGTGAAAAATAATAAAAAAAAATTAAGAGGAGAAATCGTGAATTAAACCTTTATATTAGCACGGGCTTCTAAGCGATGAGATATCACTCATATACCAACAGCAATCGACATAGACGCTGGTAGATTGGCTAAGGTGTGTATGGATGATATTTTTTTTCCGTTTATGATGGGTTTTGATCCGATTTGATAGTTTACAATGAATTTTTTTGACTCGATTTGATAGTTTATAATGAATTTTTTATTTTAGAATCGAGTCGAGATAAGATTTAGATGAAATTTGTCGCGCTTTGATATATTTACAAAGATACCATTTTAATTTTATAATTTTTATATGATATATTTAAAGTTTTTATTAAAATTTTCTAGGTCAAGATGGGACAGATTATTTTTTTAATTAAATTTTAAGGGTCATATTATGTTTTCTCTATGTAGGAATTTTTTTTTCCGACTATAATTTATTTTGGATAAAATTAATGTCAATTTATTTTGGATAAAAAAATAAGTTACATAAAATTTCTAAAAAGAAAAAATCATATTATTTCATTTATTTTTATAAACATGCACCGCATACAAATTTATTTACGAGAACCGAAATCATGTATAACTTTAAAAAATAATCAATTTTCAGCATTGTGTACTTTAATCTTCTTCATTTTTCAAAAAAATATTAATTTTGAGCATTGTGTATTTTAATCTTATTAACGTGTAACTGACTTTTGAACTTATTTTTATTCTTCATTTTGAGTGTTTGGTCGTATTTAACTTAAAATGACAACTCCATTTTGTTAAAACATACCCGTACTTAAAAGAAAAATACTTCTTAAACCAAAAAATGATTTTGACAAATTCACACTCTCCAAACTATTGTAATTTATTAGCAATTTGTTTGATGATAATCATCAACGATTTAAATTAAAAATGAAATCCTTTCTTCATTTTTCATCTACCAATCTAAATTGTTTTTTTTTATTTCAGAGTTGCTTGTTTAAGTGCCAATGGATTTCATGATGTTATCCATTTTTTAAAAAAGTATTTTGCATTTACATGCACGTGTTTATTCTTAAATTGGCATGGAAATAATTGTTTATTTCTTCATTTATTTATGATAGTATTCAGATAAATGTTCTCTTGTCCATATACTAAGATAATTGTTTATCATATAAAGGTTGACAAAGTATATGTAATGAGTTGGTAATAGTAGGTATCACATGTGTTGTGCTTGTGGTCCATTCATGTAATTTAATTGATCGGAATCTTTAAACAATATATATTATAAAGAACCATTCATGTAATTTATTTTAGTTGGTAATAGTGGGTATCACATGCGTTGTGCTCGACATGAATTTTTGACCCTTTTAATTTTATTTTATTTTTTAGAAAAATAGATCTAGTTTTTTTTATTAATTAGATTTTTTGATACGTGCTACATGTGTATGTACCTTCCATTCACCTTTTAGTTGTGTTATAATTTCTGTTTTTATTTATTGGTTGATTCCTGAATGAGATAGAAGAGCCTTTTAAGATGAATGGTAAAATAGAGGTGTTGAAGAATGGATCAATGAGCTTTCTTTTTGGTGTTTTTATGTAAGGTTATACACTCTTATTCTTAGAAGAATTCAAATGAATCATAAACGTAGTGTCTTATGAGTCAAAATGTATGTTTATCGTATGTTATAGTTTGATGCATGCATCGATGAACTTGTAACGAAATTGACATTGAAATTGATTATATTTGATGTCAAACGACATACTAGAAATGCTTGTAACTATAGGGATTGACTTGGGATCAAATAAGATGTTTAGAGCTATGTTAGGGTGAATTTTTGGACCAAAACAAATCATTTCTACACTATGTTATCATTATTATTCTTGCAATATCGATACCTTATGAATTTTAAAAGGAAATATGAGCAATCTAAACTCATAATACCGATATTCATGCTTCAGGTATCAATATTATTGATATTGATATAAAAGGTGAAATATCAATACTAATCCACTCAAAACATTTTTCTATATCGATACTATCCAAAATATCAGTACCATATAGTTGAAGATAAGAATCAATTCTTAGTCTCGTACATTTTATTTATTTATTTATTATTTTAAAAAATTAAGTCAAAAAATCTGTATGGAGCACGTGCAGGCCCAATTATTTTTGTCTATGGGCTATACATGTGTAAACATTATAAGTTTGGGCTGGGCTCTGTATTTACAAATTGGAATTTGAAACAATGTATAGAATTCAAATTCGTTCTAACTTTTGTAATAGTATGAGATAATTGTAATGTATTATCTGTTCAAAATTTTATTAATATATTAATAATGCAAACATTCTACAAATACAGTTACTCGAATTCAAGATCTCTAGAAAGAGTAACCTATTTTTTTTACCATTAAAACCACATGAGTTCATATTCATTTCCCTTTACATCTAATTGAAGGGAGGAAATAAATAAATAAATATATATATATATACATTGCGGGTAATATGGTAGGAATAGAGAGAGAAGTTGGATTTCTCATAATTATTGTGGTAGGTGTGAATATGCCCAATTTCTATTCGTCCTGCATCATTATTTCTATTTTAATATTATATAGAAATTTTATTTTTAAATTTTTAATTTATATTTAAATTTATTAATTAAAGAATCACGGTATTTATTATTTTTAAAAAAATAATAATAATGATTAAAATAATATTACATATATAGTAAGAGCTAGAATGATAAACATTTCATACTTTTTTATAAAAATAAACGATTTATAATTATTTAACTTATAAATATATTATATAAAATAGATAATAGGGCAAATAATGATGCAGTGTTTAAATATATTATTACGCAACAAAATAAATTTTTTTAATAATTGCAAGATTATTAAACTTATAATGATGCAGTGTTTAAATATATTATTCCACATATACTCTTCTCCCTTAAACTTTACAAGATTAAATATATTATTACGCAAAGATCTTTTTAATAATTGATAAATTTTTTTATTAATTTGAAATGAATATAAGGCGGTGTTTGTTTAAAATTTATCAATTATTTGATATTAAACGTTTGAATTCCTAACATATATGATATTCAAACGGAAGATCTCAAATAATAATAATAATATTTTAATTATTAAGATTGTTTAATTCATGCACACATAATTAAATACTTGCAAATTCATCTAAATTTGTAAAATTTAATTAAAAAAGTATTTCTTAAAATCAATTGAGTTAACTTGAGATAAATGATAAATTATTCCTACACTCTCTTTTTTTCATAAGTAATTTATAGTAAATAATAATAACGATTTCCAAACTTCCTCGAACCCTTAAAAACACTTGTCTCTAGCAACCTAAAGATTTGAATTTCAGATGTAACCAAGCCTAGGAGATCTAAACAATTTACACTCAAAAGAAACCTCGAACGACTTAAATTTTATTAGCTCTAATAAGTTCTAGGGTAAATTATATTAATGGTCACTAAAAGATTAAAAAAATTGTCATTAAAATTGTAAAAATTATGTTTTGATCATTAAAATTATTGATAAATAATAAAATGACCAGGACATTATTTTTCATTAGATTAATGACTTGACATGTTAACAACAATGATTCAAATTTATAATTTATAATTTATAATTTATGGTCAATTATGATGTTATCATTATAATTTAGGATTTTAAATGATGCACAAAATTATAAGACAAGAATGATAATTTGACTATAATATTGTTGATGTCCTTGGAGATGGAGGTTTGCGTATAAATAATTTATTTCTTCTGACATGGACGAAGAGTCGTTATTCACGGACCTCAACGGCGGTGAAACTCCGGTGAATTAGAGGCGGTGGTAGGTTATGGCTTAGAGGATAAAATGAAGAGAAAAAGGAAATCGCTAAAAAAAGCTGGCGTGCACTTGCACGGGACAAAGTAAGCCGCTAACTCACTTTGGGTTAATTCTCCACAGGCTCCTAGTTAATTTTTATTTAGCCCCTGTTATTCTAAAATCATTTAATTCAAGTAGGCTATTCTGGATTAATTCTCCATTATTGAAACCTTGGTGTTGAAAGCAACAAACCTAAGCCTTCTGCATCAATGGAGTCGCCAAAAGAGCCTGTCATCTTTGGGAGATCTCTCATAGTTCCAAGTGTTCAAGAACTTGCCAAAGAACCCCTCTCCAAAATCCCACATAGATACCATCGTCCTCATCAAGAATCTCCCTCCATCCCTTCCGATTATCACCTTCCATCTGTCCCCATCATCGATTTTCAGAAACTGGCTGCCGACGATTTCATCGGCTCCGAACTCGAAAGATTACACTCAGCTTGCAAGGACTGGGGATTCTTCCAGGTAAGCCATATTACTTACTACTCTTCAGTTACTTGTTGGTAAATGGTATTGCTTGAAATTGTTACAGCTAGTGTTTTGTTTAATATATAGGTAGTGAATCATGGTGTTAGTTTGAAATTATTGGATGAGTTCAAGTTGGAGATTGAAAATTTCTTCAAACTACCCCATGAAGATAAGAAGCTTCTTTGGCAAACACCAGATGATCATGAAGGGTTTGGTCAATTGTTTGTGGTTTCAGAAGATCAGAAGCTAGATTGGTCTGATATGTTCTATATAACCACGTTACCACTCGATCTTCGTAAGGTTGACCTATTCGAAAAACTCCCCCTTAAGCTAAGGTATTGAAATTCGAAACCGATATTTCGATAAAAAGTATTGTTTGTAAAGTGTGTTTTTGATCCTACAGTTTCATGATCTTGATGCAGAGAGATCATGGAAGTATATTGTACTGAAGTGAAAATAACCTCAGTGACCAAAAATCCCATATAATATACGGTTTTAACCAACTTTTTCCGGATTTGCCAAAATGACCAACAAAATCGCAATGCGATCGCTAATTCGCAACGCGATCTCCATTATCGCAAATTCGCGTTGCATTTTCGCAATGCGATAGTTGAAAATCGCGTTGCGATAGTCTACAGTATCGTTGCGATTTTCCCAATTCGCAATGCGAATAAGTAAATCGCAACGCGAATTGGGAAATTCGCAATGCGAATAAGTAAATCGCAACGCGAATTGGGAAAATCGCAATGCGATACTGACTATCGCAATGCGATAATAAAAAATCGCAACGAGATACTTACTTTCGCAACGCGATACTGACTTTCGCAACGCGATAATACATAATCGCAATGCGATTTTCAAAGCGCCATTAGTATCCTGGCCAAGTATTTTATTTTTAAATTCCAAACATGAATATAAATATATTGGAACACTGAACTGTCCACAGTATATCCCGTAATCGCAACTCATAACCTAAAACCTAAAATCACAACTCAGTCCCATCTCCATCTCTCACTCTCTCACCCATCTCCGATGAAATCCGTCCCCATCTCCGGCGAAATCCGTCTATCTAAATCTCTCAGAGCCACCCTCACAATCAGAAATGGAAAATCAACCAAATCAACCAACGAGGGTTAGTTTTTTTAATTATTTTCTTTTTGAAATTTTTGCATTATTATTAGGTTTTTCATATTGAAATTGATGATAGGTTTCTGGTAATTTCAATAATAGATTAACCATTTCACTTAGATTGCTTATTAAATCAACCAAGAATCGCAACGCGAAATGCAAATCGCAACGCGATTTTAGTTTCGCGTTGCGATTCTCTCGTTGCGATAGTCATTTTCGTGTTGCGATTTTCATTTTCAGAAACTATTCTTCTTCTGCAATTGAAACTTGAATGAATTGCATTACTTCAACCAAAAAACAAAGACAAATACGAAATTCACAGTGTTGCATATTTAAGTTTGAAGAATAAACTACTACTATTTATGTTTATTATTGTTTTTGGTATATCTTCACAGTGTAGTTTTTGGTATATCTAATTTAGTATGTTTATTGTTTTTGTAGAACTTTTATTCGGCTCAATTGACCTTGAGAAATAAAGTCAGCCTGGCCAAAACAATTGCGTCGAAGCTTTCACCTGCACAAAGAAAATGTTTGAGGATACATGCTTCGGGCCATGGCTGAAAGTACAACATCCCGGTGGAGATGCGATGTTGACACACCTGTTTCTTCAAACCATGACTAGAGATCTACCAGAGACTATACAACGTCGTGATGAAGAGATATGGTTTGATTTTCCACCGGCGTATACGTGTTTTGGGCGGGAGGAGTTTTGCTTAATCACCGGTCTACGCTTCGGACACGATGATGTAGGTCGGTACACTAGACACATTACCCGCCCATCATGGCTATCCCGGGTTTTCCTGAGCTGGAGAGGCCGAGTCTACACGTAGAAGACCTGACAAGATTTTTGAATAATAAAGATGGTTTTACTCGGATGGATGACGTCGACGTTGTCCGAGTATGCCTTCTAATTCTTTTGCATGCCGGCTTTTTAGGCAGAGAGGCCAGACAACCTATTCCAAATGATCTAATCAAATTGGTAGAAGACCTAAATGCGTGGAACCTGTTTCCGTGGGGCTCGTATTTATGGAAAGCTACATGGAATAAGTTATCGTCTGCCTTGGATGATCGAAAAAGTTTGCATGGCGATGGTTCCAAATACACTTTGACAGGCTTTATTTGGGCCTTTAAGGTAAGAATTTTATATAATGTTTCCAAAATTATAAGTAATTATTTAACAATTACTAATATTTGTTATTATATTGTTTGTAGATTTGGATATTTGAGGCCTTTCCCGCCATGAAGACATATGCAATAAAACTTCAAATAATATTCCCAGGGCTATTTCCTGGAAGAGGAAACGAACCTTGCAATGGGAAGATTTACTACGGTATACGACAATAAATAATGTAAGTTAACATAAATACTACCATATGTTTATAAACAAGTTATTACTAGTACACATTTAACTTTGTTTAAGCTTTTATATTGTTAGGAGGTCAACACTCCTCTACAGAGGCTGACACCCACGGAAGCTGAGCTTGCCACTGATTGGTGGCAAGCTAGTAAGCGTTTTTTTGATGGAACGGTTGATGAGCAGCCTCCACTTCGGGAGCCATCACCTCGCCCAGAGCTATCACCTCACCTAGAGCCATCATCTGATCGACCCGGCTATACACCTCCACAACGACAGCCATCACCTATTCTTTCACATCATCGAGCCTCTTCTCCACCATCACCGCAAGATAGGCGACCGGCAAAGATGTCACGACGTTTATCTCCCTGTTCTCCACCTCCACCTCAACGGGATGAGTTAGGGGAGTTACGTGATGAGGTCAATGCCTTGCGTGAGGAGGTCGGTACTTTACGCAAAGACGATGGTGCATGGCGTGTTGAGGTGTCTACATTACGCGGTGAGGTAGCCGCTCTACGTGAGATGGTAGCATCGTTGCAGAATGAGGTTCATACTCTACGCAACGAGGTAAGTTTAAGATTTTTCATACTCGTAATTCATTCGGTTGCTGCCAATCTGTTTTTGTTAGTATTTGTTTTTGGTTTTGTTTTTGTCTTTTGGTTGAAGTAATGCAATCCATTCAAGTTTCAATTTGCAGAAGAAGAATAGTTTACTTTCGCAACACGAAAATGACTATCGCAACGCGGAAATGGCTATCGCAATGCGAAATGAAAATCGCAACGACAAAATCGCAACGCGAAATGAAATCGCAACGACAAAATCGCAACGCGAAATGAAAATCGCCGGGATGGAGCTCTCATTTGGCTAAATTCTTGGATGGGATTAAGTATTGGAGTCATTCTGGACACAAGAAGCCAAAGAAGTTCAATGTCACAGTTGTCAGAGACGAGACCGTGCCACAGCAATCGCCGGGAGCCAGAGGGGATTGTGGTCCTCTCGTATGCCTTTGCTTGGCGCGTTTGACGACGGAAAGCACAGAGTTTTTACCTCCCACCGATAGAGATAGAGCTGCAGTAGGCTTGTGGTTTCGGCATTATATGGCTAGAGCAATATATTCGAGACGCTGCCTACCTGCATCCGCGTTATGAAAGTGTCCATTGTTAATTGGTAAGTCAAATGTAAGTTTTGTTAACATATATACTCCTTTTGGTTTGAAAATGTTTGGTTAAGTACCTAGAATTCAATAATTTGCTGTTTGTAGGTTTTAGATGTGTAGGAAGTCTTGTTTGAGCAAATGTTTGGTTTCTGCAGGTTAATCCTTAAGTGAACTGAGTGAAATGGATGTACGGGGTCACAAAGTTGTTGATTCTTGATTCAATAATTGATGAAGAAATAAGAATTATTATTATTTTTTGATTGTTTAATTGATTTGTAAAAGATGATTTGTAAATGTTGATTTGTTTAATTGATGTGTACATAATTTGTGTTGAAATGTAATAGTTGATTTGTTGATTTTCAATCTGCTTTATGTTGAAGGCAAAACAGACTATCGCAACGCGAAATGGTTATCGCAACGAGAAAATCGCAATGCGATTTTCATTTCGCATTGCGATTTTCTCGTTGCGATAACCATTTTCGCATTGCGATAGTCAAATGAATGTCTAATAAGTGATGACAACTGAACAGATCATAGCAATGTTTAAACTCAAGTTACTAATACATGCCTAACTGAAAATGTTAAAAGTGCACACATAAAATACACATAATGCAAGTTTTGTTAACATATATACTCCTTTTGGTTTGAAAATGTTTGGTTAAGTACCTAGAATTCAATAATTTGCTGTTTGTAGGTTTTAGATGTGTAGGAAGTCTTGTTTGAGAAAATGTTTGGTTTCTGCAGGTTAATCCTTAAGTGAGCTGCGTGAAATGGATGTACGGGGTCACAAAGTTGTTGATTCTTGATTCAATAATTGATGAAGAAATAAGAATTATTATTTTTTGATTGTTTAATTGATTTGTAAAAGATGATTTGTAAATGTTGATTTGTTTAATTGATGTGTACATAATTTGTGTTGAAATGTAATAGTTGATTTGTTGATTTTCAATCTGCTTTATGTTGAAGGCAAAACAGACTATCGCAACGCGAAATGGTTATCGCAACGAGAAAATCGCAATGCGATTTTCATTTCGCATTGCGATTTTTTCGTTGCGATAACCATTTTCGCATTGCGATAGTCAAATGAATGTCTAATAAGTGATGACAACTGAACAGATCATAGCAATGTTCAAACTCAAGTTACTAATACATGCCTAACTGAAAATGTTAAAAGTGCACACATAAAATACACATAATGCAAGTTTTGTTAACATATATACTCCTTTTGGTTTGAAAATGTTTGGTTAAGTACCTAGAATTCAATAATTTGTTGTTTGTAGGTTTTAGATGTGTAGGAAGTCTTGTTTGAGCAAATGTTTGGTTTCTGCAGGTTAATCCTTAAGTGAGCTGCGTGAAATGGATGTACGGGGTCACAAAGTTGTTGATTCTTGATTCAATAATTGATGAAGAAATAAGAATTATTATTATTTTTTGATTGTTTAATTGATTTGTAAATGTTGATTTGTTTAATTGATGTGTACATAATTTGTGTTGAAATGTAATAGTTGATTTGTTGATTTTCAATCTGCTTTATGTTGAAGGCAAAACAGACTATCGCAACGCGAAATGGCTATCGCAACGAGAAAATCGCAATGCGATTTTCATTTCGCATTGCGATTTTCTCGTTGCGATAACCATTTTCGCATTGCGATAGTCAAATGAATGTCTAATAAGTGATGACAACTGAACAGATCATAGCAATGTTCAAACTCAAGTTACTAATACATGCCTAACTGAAAATGTTAAAAGTGCACACATAAAATACACATAATGCAAGTTTTGTTAACATATATACTCCTTTTGGTTTGAAAA